AGGACAGCCAGAAAAGTTGCAAGATGGAGAATCGGAAACATTAAACGATCACATTCATGTCAAACGTCTGAAGAAATTTAAGAAGTAGATCCAACGGTGCCATTGGTTCACATGCAAGGGGAATGATACAAAAAATAGGCAGCTATACACTGCATAGATTGACCGGAAGAAAATGAAAAAGCGTCAAACCACCCGAGAAAGAGGAGCACGCTTCATTTTGCACATAGCATCCACAGTTTTTAGCAGAAGTGGTGACTAAAGTCACGGAATAAATTAACAAAGTACGGAGGAATCTGAAGATTTACATAAAATAGGCCCTGTTTATGGAGACAGTTCCAATCACGGTGTCTGTATTTCAGTCTCCTTACACGTAAGGTAGCGTGCTAGAAATGACTGTGCGGAACTCTGAAATGCCGGTGCACGACAAGTCATATGTCGGAAACCTCTGCAAATAGTACGGGAAGTACTCATAGCCCTTAGACCAGAGCGAAGAGGAAGAACAACATCGTCAAACTTACATCAGTGAATTGCTGAACTGTTGTAAATTGTCGTTGTACGATAACATTAACTAAAATGCATAAAAAACATCGCAGCTGGAGAGAGCATTCGGAAGATACGTTTAAAAATAACTAAGTCTTTTTTCCTCAAGGCTGAAAAAATAACCGAAGCGAGGGGGAGTATGCAAGTCTCCATAAATTGTCAGCTTAGGGCTTGAAGTCTGTAAAAGGAACACAAACGTCGGATAAAGTAAAGTAGTTCATGAATTTAAGTGAAAATTCTTTCAGTATGGAGAGAAAGTGAAAGATTATATGCCAGAGTAACACCAAAGTACCCGAAAGGGGATATCTCGTCTGGCAGGATGTCTAAGGACTGCGATAGGGTCGCAATCAGAAAACACATTGAACTGGCTTCTGATCATTCAGTAGAAGACCACTGGCCAACGACCTTTCTGAGATGTGGTCCAGGCCATTTTTCAGAACCTGGATATGTATCGGATTTTTCATTGGATGACTAACAACCATATCATCCGAAAATGTAACATACGATCGCAAGTCATCTGTATGGCGGAAGAAGACGTGAGAAGCTTTGTAATAGTTGGGAAGGACTCTGGATTTTTGCTTGCCGCGTTTAACGAACTGAATGCGGGATGTAACATAGTATCCACGCCAGGAGACAGTCCGGTCAGGAGGGCCGTTTGTAGATGTTTCGTTAATAAGCAGATAGCATGAGATAGGAATACAGGCTGAGGAATAGTCAAGAAATGTACATACGTACTCACGGCAACCCTGATCTAAATCTTTTAGAGCCGAAGGAACTATACGAGCAACGGCATCTATAGTACAACGCCTAGTCTTATATGCAAATTCTAAAGGATCGAAAAAGGTAGGGGAAACTGGCGAGATACTACCTAAGACCAGTCGTTAACCATAATTCAGTAGTGCGAAACACCAGGCGATTGGACAAAATAGTTTGGGACGAAGGGTAAGGGTTTTTGGGGTTGGAGTCATTCTTATTTTATGCCAATCGTCCGGAAGCTTGAACTCCATGAGGGACAAATGAATAAGGTGTGTCAAGGTAGGGCCTAACGCAGAAAGGTATGCCTTTAGGAAACCTGGTGAAGCCCCATATGGTTCGGTAGCTACTGAACCTCGAAACTTATTAAGAAGTTTTACCACTGCTGCCACAGATGCAGGAGGAAAGACACTTGGAAATAAGGGAATGTTTTGAGCAGAAGAAGCTATGTCAAACACCGGAATCATGGTTTTATTGTTCTGAGCTTTCGGGCTCCTCCAGGAGTCCACCGTCAGTTATGGGAAGCAGCAACAAATGGGGTGGCTAGTTGTGGCGTGGGTACAAAACAACTAAAATTTTTCAACGTGTAGAAAATCAATAATTGTATGGCGTGGACGCCGACTGGCCACTGCGGACTACGTCAGACTGTACAAGCAGGCGGGGTCGGCGTGTTGGGTGGGAATATTTACAGAAATAAAATCGTCACCGAAAAAAGCAGCATTTATAGGGGGAAGGGTCAATAAAAAGTCGGATGAGGGGGAGGAGGGGGAGAGGACCAATTAATCACCAGTGCCATGAGTCTGGAGATACCTGCGCAGGGCAGCATATACGGGCGCCAGCTCAATACATCGGTTAATTGAGTAGTCGTTAGATGCCCAGGCTTCAATTAGTTCTCGTCTAATTGCACAGACTGACGTAGTCCGCAGTGGCTAGTCGGCGTCCACACCATAAAATTATTGATTTTTTACACGTTCAAACATTTTCGTAGTTTTGTACACACGTCACAACTAGTCACCCCATTTTTTGCTGTTTTCCGTCCCTAACGATAAACTCCTGCAGGAGCCCAAAAGCTCAGACCAATAAACCCATGATTCCGGTGTTCGACGAAGCTTTTTCTTCTCAAACCATACACGTACTAGGAATGCGATTTTTCGCCTCAATAGGGAAATATCGCTTGAGGGGAGATAGGATTCAGTGGAAGCATGAATAAAATTTCCACTTAAATAGTCCATAACCGCCTTGAACTGCAGCGGTGTGCTGCGTTGGCCAGCAAGACCCTAAAAATTCCTCCAACATTTAGCCAGGCAAAGAAGAAGCGAAGAAGTAGAAGAAGTAAACAGCTGACTACCAAACAGGTCGGTCAGTCTGTAAATTTTTTTTACTAGGACGTTAATTTCCTTTAGATTGTCACATAGGCCTAGTTTTTAAAGGCGTTTCTTTTTGCGTCTTAAAAATTTTAGATAGGTAGAGGAAATTCTGTCAGACACGGTGTCGAGAAAACAGCATGAACTTAAAAAAACTTAATGTTGAAAAAGTTTTAAAGCAGCAAGAGCCCCATTCGACGTTTGATTGTTCGAGAAAAGCAGGAGTATTCATAGATTTATGAGTCCAAAGCAAGCAAATATTTTGTGGGGACGTGTTAAGTACCTTAGAGTAGATTCTCTATCCCACGAAATGTCAACCAAAATTCGGAACTGTGTTTTCGGGTCGGATGGATAACATTAGTAAAACTGTAATACTGATTCTCGTACTACCTTATCTCAAGATACCTTGGTCACGACGGGCTGCCAGCTTCACTATTTACACTCAAATAAGGAGTATCTTTGAGGGCCTGTATTTTCAGGCGTCCACAAAGACATTCATTCAAATGCTCACATCCTGACGCATATGAAATATCATGGATTTGTACCGCACAATGTTTGATAGTACAAAGCCGCTCCAGGAACCTTTCCTAATTAAAAAAAACATTTCAGAATTTCGTCGAAGAGATCCGTCACTGAGTTTGATCTTCCGACTAAGCCCACCTAGCGACGACTTTTCACGTAGGCCAAGTGGAGTAGGTTGCTGATAATTACAACGAATTTCCCAAATTGATTTAGCCTCTCTATCTGTCTCTGTGAACCGCAATTTTCTCAATTATTTGGTGAGCTGGAGAATGTGGTTCTTACAAACACTGGTTGGACGAAACTGTATATTTTTCATCTGCTGAGCCATAGAAAAATCTGCGACTTCAAAACATGCAGTTAAGACTGTTGAGGTCCGTCTTCAGAAGAAGGAGATGCGACCACTGGAACAAATGTTTTATTGCCCTGACGTTTCGGATTACGTCGGGTATACCTAATCACATGTAATGGTACAATAGTCTGAGTCATGCGCAGATAGGGGTGAAATATGTACAGATTGCATGATATTTATAGACCGTAGCGGTCATCCGCGTGCGTACTTTAGCCACCGCACCAATTAAGACCTCAAGCGGTGGCTACAGGAACTAATAATTATAGTCGCACGTGAATGACCGCTACGAACTATAAATGCCGTGCAATCTGTACATGTTTCATCCATATCTGCGCATGACTCAGAATATTGTACCATTACCTATGATTAAGGATTCCCGGCGTAATCCGAAACTTCAGGACAATAAAACGTTTTTTTACAGTGGTCGCATCTCCTTCTTCTGAACTGCTTCTTGGAAATCGCATTTTCACCTCTATAGGAAGTTCGTTTTCTTGGTCGCGTATCAACCGTGTTGCCGATCTCTAAGGCGTTTGACGTGCGGGCCTGAACTGAGTGTCAGACGCTGGGCTTACGGACGTTAGTATCTACTTCGCCTGAGAAAGAGCATATCGAACTCGAGCACAACACCGCGGAATAGCTCGCCTTAGTTATTATGTACTCAAAGCGCGCAGTTCTGTGAGCGTGACGACACTGCTTGTGGGCTACTAAGCACGCATTTGTGGAAAGCTGACGCTTAAGCAAAGGAAGGGCATTTTGCTAGAAAGCATCCGAACATTCAGCACGGATATAGTGTAGGCGTAAACCTATTACCAGGCATTCTGGCAACCTTGAAGGTATTCAAAATGCGTCATGCTTCTTCTACTTAAGTGCCCTGAGGCTTCTAATTCGTGGAGCACTCCGCCATGATAGCATGTGATCCCGGATTTTTAATCGGTCTTGGCGATCAACAAGTTGTTTTTTTTTTCAGCCCACGTCGCTTGAGAAATGCTCCAATATGACTGCATGCATGTTTTCACTTCAGTGGTTCATTATTTGCATGATGACGCTCCCCGGGGAAAACCATTTGTCGGCGTTACAGGAGTTAATCAATGCCGTTTTGAGTTTCTTCAAATGATCGATTAATCAATAGGGATAAAAATTGCTTACACCCTCCCATATGTTTACTTGAGTTCAAACTTAATTCGCCATTCGCATTTTCAGTGTATTTCGGAGGTATAATTAATACTTCCTAAGAACGCTATAGAAACTCTACTTGCATTATAACTCTACTCCGGCATTATAATTTAAAAACATTAACGCTGCCAAAATGTATACCTAGTTTTTAATAAAATAGCCTTGTAAGTACTTTGTAGAGTTTTGCAGCCAACTTCAGTGACCTCCCATATCAACTGAAAACCCTCGGTTAATCACATTAAATACTTTGATACATTATAAATATATATATTTTTATCTGTACAAATGCAAGCTTTCGTCTAAATCATCAAAACAAGACTGTCATCTGGAACTTTTTTAGAAGACGTCGCTGAGTCGATGTGAATAAGGAGCAATCCAGCGAGTCCGAATACTAGTACTTTTAGTGGAGCGACGAGAGTAGCTTCATCCTCCAGACCTTGAATTACCGCGATATTGCCAAGAAGCACTAAAAATGAAAGAGATCGGATTAAAGACTGTGCATAAGAGAAACAGGAATAATGCTCGTAAAAAAACAGATATCATCACAGTCACTTGGACTAAGAAACAGTGCGAATTTCCATCATGCGGTCCTAAGAGGAATTCATGACGCGTTTTTGCCAATATCAAGTGGTCTTGTGTAGATAAGGCCAGGTTATGTAATTCCCCGCAATGATGACACACAGTCTGGCGTAGATTGGTTTATATATTTCATAGTTATGAGAAGGAACCCTCTGTGGGTTAAATTCTAAATTCGTCTGAAGACATGTTTAAAGTCGTTCTAACTCATTTACCGTTTGTCTACTTCCTTTTTTATTTCTAAATATATCAATATATATGGATGGGACAGAAATTTAATGCTTTTATATTTTCTCGCACACATTTCCGTACCTGTCTGCGGTAAGGCCTAATCCTCAAACCCCCGTTTTAATACGAACCAGCAATTTAATGATGGCTAAGGGGTCATACATAACCTACCATTGTCCTCGTTTCTATAAAAATCTTTCTCAAACTGGTAATAAAAGTTTTCATCTTTAAGTATTTTAAGATCTACGAGTTTTTTCTCTCTTTGTTAACAACTAAGCAGTATGCGGGTCCTTAAGTCTGCAAGGCTCAAGTTTGAATGAAGGTACTTTACAAACCATTGTTCCTTTGTTCGCTCTTAAGGTAACCAGATACGAGGTCATCTTCGGGTGAGCCTTCTTCAGAAGGGTGCAGAAAGCGAAACATCCACGGAAGGGTGGCCGCTATTTACTTAGGCATGACTGCAAAACTGAGTATCAGTGAAATCTAACCGACCGGATAACCTCCGGGCTTTCAAACAGACATAGAGCTATTCAACTGTGCAAACACAACGGCCTACTTTATCGGTATTCTCTTTCAAACGTTGAGCACCGCTTATTTTGACAATATTTCGTAAGGTGGGGCGGAACAGAGTAAGTATTTTATATAAGGTAAAGTTTTCTGTCGAAAACTCACCTCCATAGAAGAAGGCGTCGAGGGCTGCGGGCGTGATGTCAACGGCAACGCGACTGCACTTGCAGAAGAAACCACAAAGACAAATGCCAAATCCAATGCTTAAAAATAGCCAGCTGCTCCACAGACACAAGTGGTAGAGGGAATGACCGTCTTAAACGAAAAGAAAAACGGCCAGTTATCTTTAAGGGTGAGAACGTATGCAAATTAGAGAAAAAATTTAATAAAACAAGTATACTCAATGTACATAAAGCTACACAGTAGGCATAATAACTCGGGAGCTGGTGACTTAAAAGCTGCCTACCAGTTTAAAAAACATTAGAAAACGAATAACAAGAGGGCATCAGTTCAAGTCACTTCCCCAAAGACTAAACGGTGTAATTCTTGGTTGGGCCTCTTGCGAGCTATCGACGAAATGCACCCATTTATCGGGTTGAACATGGTCTTCAGGTTTGAAAATAAAATACACCAACTAGAATAGCTGTACATCAAGGTAATTTAAGAGTGTTCGGTTCTACCGATTCCAGCTATATTCATCTTCAGAGTACGCAGGGCTTGACGAATTCTGCCCAGCGTCTTAATTATTTTGAAAAAAAAGCAAAATTCGTTTCTGGCATGAGTTCTGTAGTAGAACAACTCTGAGACTCGGAAAATATTTTGGACTGCGTACATGTGCCGAAAGGAAGGTAAGCTGTTGATGACAGCAGTGTCTTTTTCAAAAACTTTT